GACGTAGTCTTAAGATATGTTACTGTTGACTTTCGCTTATTTATTTAAAATTCCGCTGTTATCATATTATCGTCTGGTATTTTGTTAAAGAGAAGAAATATGAAAGTGTAGTAATTATGTAAGGTTGGCTTGCCTAGCTCCCATTAGTAGGCGCCATCACGACTACCGAGGGTGAGAAATCCAGGCCGTAACAATTTCCATACAAGTGATGTTTTGGGACGTTCAGCCTTATGCTTACCCCTTACAGGGGGTATAGGGGGTAAAGCTCCAAACCGAGATTGACTATGAGTTGGAGCTTGTCTTGCGCGACTAGTGAGTGTTTCATCTAATTCTTCTTCCTCATTTTCTTCATCCTCATTTTCCTCGTCCTTAAAAAGAATATCATTGCCAAATTGTCTTTGTAAAGTTTCATGATCTAGTTGTTCTCCGAAATGAATATTATAACATACGAAGGGTTGGGATAATGAAGTTTCATCAACATGAGTCATTTCATCTATATGTTTTCTAATTCTAGGAGAAGGGTTAGGATTAGGACTAGGATTAAGATTATTACTACTTTCACCTTTACTATTTCTTCTACTACTTTTTTTTAAACATGCCAAATACATTTTTAGGTGTCATAATTTAAATACGAAATTAAATTAAAAAAGTAAACACAAAATTAAACACACAAATGAAATAAGAAAATAGAACACGTAAAGTAAACACAAAAATTAAGCACTAAAATGATACGCAAAAATTATATATTAAAATTAGGAGATGGAACGAGTGCACTATGATTAAATATTGAAACTTGGAGAAATCCAGAATATTGCTCTAAATACTTGACGAATTAATTTGAAGCTTGAAAGTTGCTCCAAAAATTTGCCTAAATACTTGAAAGTTATCACTTGATAGTGAGAAAATTGAGAGAATAATATAGATAGAATGTAAGAGATTTATTTGAGAGAGAATGATTATTTTTCTGTGGGAAAAAATAAAGAAGGATGGGGGTATTTATAGTAGAAAATAGAGCCAAAGTGTAATTTAATAAAGTTATGGGTTATATTAAAAGTTTGGGGGTGGGGTGGTTAGGGGGTGGAGTCCATTTATTGCCGTTTTTGGCCGTTGGGAACGGCTATTTTTGCAATTGAAGCCGTTGTCCAACGGCTAGAATTCAAAATAAAAATAAAGAAATACGTGAGACAGGCGGGACGGGACGGGACAAACGGGACCAAATGGACGTCACGTCCCATCCCATATCCCGTTTAACATGGGGCCATCCCGTTTAAAATGAAGTGGGCCGGGACGGGATGCGGGATGGGCCGGGCCGGGACGGGATGCAGGATGGGCCGGGCCGGGCCGTCCCGTTGGACAGCCATAGTGTATGGATAAAGAAAGTAAAACAGAACTTACCTATAAAAATATGTGTACTGACACCTATACATGGTATTTCAGTATTGTGTACCCTCCTATATCTAATCTGGCATCACATAATAAAAATACGCGTCCTCATATATTTGTATGATTGGAGTATGTCAAACTAGTTTGTTTTAGAAGAAAAAAAACAAACTAAAAAAGAAAAAAACATAAGTGGGGCGGGGCGGGTTGAACTTTTTGTGGGTTTTGCCAAACCCGCCATCCCTATGCCCAAGTGTTGCAGACAAGTTTCGAACTCACGACCTGCACTAAAATTTGAACCCGCTTGACCATCTTTCCAAAGGATCATCTTCTGTCAAGTGGGTTCAATAAAGGGTTATATTTATATGTTACTGTCACGACCCATTTTCCATAATAGGTCATGATGGCACCTAACACCATTGTCAGGCCAGCCGATGCGGAATGTGATTAAGTTCTCATTTTACTTTAGCCAAAGACAGTTATACTAGATTTTCGAATTTAAAGATAAGACCAGTAAAGATTATAAAGTGCTAAAATAGCGACACAACCCCAAAATAAATGTTTACTACTGTGTGTGCCAGAACCTAGTATCACAAGCTACGGGCGACTAGTAGAATATACACAAAAGAATAATACACTATCCTACTGTCTGAATCAGATTAGACAGAAACAAAAAGTACAAGAAAGGACTTCTTCGGCTGCGGATCGGCATGAAAGAGAAGCAGCTCACCGTAGAAGTCCCCAAGCGTGCTCACTGATGCGCACCAGGATGATGTCCAGATCCACCTGCCTCAAATCCTGTACATTTAAGTACAGAAGCGTAGTATGAGTACATAAACCACATGTACTCAGTAAGTATCCCGTCTAATCTCGAAGAAGTAGAGACGAGAGGTCGACTTGATACTTACTAAGGTCAAGATAATATAATAATAAGGTGAGATATACAGCATGAGGAATTTCCAATAACGCAAGTTTAAGAGAAGAGTCGTATTCATGTTCTTGACATAATTAAACTACCAGTTTTCCCTTTTTCATATTAAACAAGTGATCATGTCATATCTAAATGTAAGCATATAAATCATGCACAATCATGCCGAGGTCGACGGCCCGCTCCAACAGAAAATAAATTGTGCACTGCCGAGGGTCGAGCGACACGAACCATAGATGCATCTATTCTCACCTAGGCGATCGGCCCGGTCCATAATCATCAAGAAAATATCAGGAAAGCACATAAGGCTCAATTACATACAAGGGAATTCCTACCAAGACTCAACAAACTCATAAGTTCACTTATCATTTCCTCAAGTCTCTAGCAAATCATAAATGATCATATTGGCAATTTAAAACAAGTAATATTCCCCAATTAGACATGACGTGGGTCCTAAACTACCCGAACAATTATCATTATAGTAGCTACGCACGGACTCTCGTCACCTAGTACGTACGTAGCCCCCGCATTTAACAACAACTACTCATTTATAATCCTATGGGGAAAATTCCCTCTTACAAGGTTAGAAAGGAGACTCACCTCGCTCCAAAGTGCACTTCCAATGTCCAAGAACGAGCCCAAGTCCTTAATTCGAAGCCGAACAATCCCAAACTAATCAAACGAAGTAAGAACTAGTAAATAAAGGCTTACAAGGTCGAACTCTAACTATTTAGGCAAATTTTCTAACCATTAACACAAGTTTCCTAAATTCCGACCCCGGGCCCACGTGCCCGGATTCCGAGATTTTTCGAAGGAAGTTGTTCTCTATCACCTAAAGATCACAAATATATGATTTCTAGTTCATTACATGGCAAATTTTTATGATAAATTCTTAGTTTTATTAAAACCCTTGGTCCAGCTCAAATTCTTGATTTTTACTAAATTTTTGGTGTTTAATCTACCTAATATACATGTATTTAAGCTAAGGATGAAGGGAAATTACTTACCTTACCAAGTTATGTGGAAACCCTCTCTTGGAAGAACCCAAATCGCCTAAGTGTAGAGTGAAAAATGAGAGAAATGAGTTTGAGTTCGTATTAAATGAACCCTTCTGCCCCCAGTTATTTTGGCATCTGCGGAAGTATTTCCGCTTCTGCAGCTTTTGGGATTTGGGGCTCGACCGCTTCTGCGGTCTGGGGGCCGCATAGGCGGAACCGCTTCTGTGGTCCAAGAACCGCAGATACGGTTATGACAGAAGCAGCAAGCTTCAGTCATTTTCCAAATTCTAACTTCACTCGAGCCTCGCTCGTTTGACGCTCGGGGCTCCCGTGCCCCGCCCGAACATACCGACAAGTCTGAAATCACGAGGCGGACCTACTCGAGCCCTCGAAACACTCAAAACAACGCTAAATCGAGGAATCAACCCCAAAACCAAATGAATCAATCATTAAACTTCAAGTTCTTAATTCTCCTCCAACGGGTCAAAACGCCCTTAAACTACTCGGATTGACACCAAATTTTACGGGTAAGTCTCAACTGATATTTCGGACTTGTAACAAGTTTCGGAATCGAAATCCGAACCCGATACCTAGGAAAACAATGATTTCTTAGTTTATTTAAACCTTTGAAACTTTAACTTAACAATTTCACATAAAAATTCATTACTCGGGCTAGGGACCTCGGAATTCGATTCCGGACATACGCCCAGGTCCCATATTTTCCCACAGACCCTCAGAAATTGTCAAATCACGATTCCGGGTCCGTTTCCCCAAAATGTTGACCGAAGTCAAACTTGGCCTTTTCAAAGAAACTTAAAAAAGCAACTAGACTTATTCTTGCTCAAAACTCTTCTAAATTCCGAACCACCCGTCCCCGCAAGTCATAAATTAGCTAAAGCAAGTGCGGGAAGTCTTATTTAAGGGAACGGGGTTCAAAAATGCAAAACGACCGGTCGGGTCGTTACAGTTACAGAATTTAACCTATATAAAATACTAATATTTTTTAACGAAGCGGGTTCATATGAACCCTTTTGGCTCTTGGTAGGTCCGCCCCTGTCTAGGACAAATTTAACAGAAGAGGGATATAATTGAGCCAATAGTATTACGGCAATGGTATATTTGGATCCAAAATATAATGAAGGATTTTAAATATTTTCTCATAGTACAGAATATTACTGTAATTTGAATTAGAATATCAAGAATGGAATAGTCTCCTTGATATTAGCCTACTATCGTCCATTCGTTTTTTCTTTGGATTTGGTCATTGCTATTCAATTATATTCTTTTTTTTCTTCTTATTTTGTATAAGAAACAAAAAAAGGAAAAATAATACGGGAATGGATAAGATCAGAATATCAAGTATGAGGGTTCAAGGCATAACATGCTTGAAGATTGAAGTCAAGTTGATTTCACACGTGGAGAATCTAAGAGTGGAGAAAAAATGGGCTAACATTTTTCGCCCAAATCAAATACCCAATAAGAAACCTTATACATATCGCGGGCCTTAAAGTAGATAGTCCCACACTATCACAAATTCACATTTTACAGATCTCTAGATGACGTGGCTTCTCCTCTATCTCTAACCAACTATCTTCTCACCCCCACCCCCACCCCCCACCCCCCTCAAAAAATATCCCAAATATCTTCCTCTCGCAGTGTCCTTTTTGACCCCACACCCCCACCCCCTCAAAAAATATCCCAAATATCTTCCTCTCACAGTGCCCTTTTTGATCTTTTCTCTTTTCACTTTTTCTTTCTCTTTTTCTTCCACATTCCACGTATTACATTTCACTATCTTACGCCGCGTGCCAGCTACGCCCACCTCATCTAATCTTTACCGTTGATTTCCCTCATTCTGCGGTTCAGATATTTTCAACCCCTGAGCGGCGTACTTTAGCTTTCACCATATACCTAAAAAGTGTTAGTATTAAAATATTTAGTTTTCGTTGGCCTGAAAAAGCTGGGACTTTTGGACAACCACTCAGTAGCTTACCAGCCAGAGGAGACTTCTTTTTTACTTCATTTTTATTTTTCTAACTCGAATCTTACTCTAGGTAGGTAGAACAGATAAGAAGTTTGTGTACAGATTTGTCGAAATTAGTTCTTGCTAACGTGCGCCGGATCGGTCCGACGATGATGCTGTTTGAGAATTTATGTATTTTTCCGGTCGTTGATTCCGTCCTATGTGCCCGGAGATGTTGCTTCTTGTTTATTTAGCACAGCGCAATAGCAGAAGCACTTTTTGTTTTTTGATTTTGCAGTATTAGGTGAAAAGAGATGTATATCCTTGGATTGGATAAGTTGACTACGTGATCCGCTAAATGAAACCAGCTGAATTAGAAACCCTAAGTTTAATTTTTCTAATTTCTAATTTTTACTTGTAGTGAAGAGTATGGAAAGTGCTTTTTAATGGAGGTTTTGTAGAATTAATTTAGGGGGGAGTGGGGGGGTTTGGGCTGGAATTCTGAAGACTGCTGATTTTTAAGTAATTTCTGGGAGATTATGGAGAAGAGTGAGATTGTTAAGAGTGGGGAAGGGTTTATTGATAGGAGTAAAGTGCGGATTTTACTGTGTGATAAGGATGCCAAGAGCTCGCAGGAGGTTTTTACGCTCTTGTGCAAATGCTCTTATCAAGGTAATATCCAGTTATTGGAGCTCCTAGTTTATGATTTTTGTTATATTTTATTACTGACATTCTTATAAATGATTTTTTTGTGTGTCTTTGTGTGTGGAATTTGATTCGAGATGATTTATGTTTTTCCTGAAGCAGGTGTTAGAATTAATGTGAACTAAGTCCAGATGATTTATGTTTTATCTCTGAATCTGGTTATAGAATTAATGTAAAATAAGGCCTTTTAAGTACTCTTGTTGAGTGGAATAGTTTTATTAATGTTAGTTTAACTCCTGTTTATATAGATGATCGATCGCTTGCTTTATCTAACATGAGCTCTGATATTCCTAACTTAAGCATGTTGCTTCGTGTTGATCTTTTTGAAGATTCGCGTTCATTGTCTCAGCTCACACTTCTAATTAATTGCTGATAATGATAGAGGCTTACTTCCCTGCAACTAATAATTGAAGGCCTGGATTGTATGTGTGTGTGGGGGTGGGGGGGGGGGGGGGGGTAGGCAGGATTCAGTTTTGCAACCCTGCCAAAAGGTTCAATCATCTGCAGTTCTTCCCCCTCCTCCAACTGAGGAAACAAAACAAAATAAGAAGAATAAGGAAAAGGAGAGTAGAATTGGGCGCCAGCGGTGGCTGGGGAAAGAAGCTTGTCTTAATAAGTTACCCTTGTTTTTTTTATCCTAGGTCAATCTATAGTTGGCTACTTGGCTTATAATACACATGGTATTTTAGAAGGCAGCATTGGATGTTCTTGTGTTGATTGTGGTAATTTTCGCCTTGCAGTGACTTCGGCGAGGTCACCTAGGCAGGTGATTGATGCACTGAATGCTGAAGGACCTGAAATAGATATCATCCTTTCTGAAGTTGACCTTCCTATGTCTAAAGGATATAAGATGTTGAAATACATCATGAGGGATAAAGAGCTGAGGCGCATTCCAGTGATCAGTAAGCATAACTTGTATAAGTTGTATCATGATTTCAGATGTACTTATAAAGAATGGTAAAAAATTTATTTGTTATTTCCTTTCCTAGTGATGTCAGCGCAAGATGAAGTCTCTATTGTTGTCAAGTGCCTCAAATTTGGAGCAGCTGACTACCTTGTAAAGCCTCTCCGCACTAATGAGCTGTTGAACTTGTGGACTCACATGTGGAGAAGAAGGCAAATGGCACGTTCTTTATTTCATCGCCTAACAATTTTCTTTCCTTGCAATTGCATTTTTTTGCTTGAAAGATTTATCTTTTAGCAAGATTTTGGGAGATTTAGGCTAAAGGTAATAGAAGGGCTCTAGGCAAGGGCAGCTAGTAAACCGCTCTTGGAATATTATGTTCTTTTTTCTTTTTCTTAACTACAGATAATATGTTTCAGTGTCTTTTCATTTAAAGGATCTATTATTGTGGCATGATCCTAATGAAGAAGCAAACGATGTCTGAGCCCTAATTCTTTTTTCTTTTTTCTTAGGATGCATGCAAGGAATTTTTCTACTGCTTTAACTTTTTAGAATCTTATGTGCTCAATGTCAACATCCATGTAATATTCCAAATGTTTCTCTTTGTTTCATGTACAGCTTGGACTAGCAGAGAAGAACATCTTAAGTTATGACTTTGATTTGGTTGTATCAGACCCCAGCGATCCTAATACAAATAGCACTACTCTTTTCTCTGATGATACCGATGATAGGTCCCGGAAGAGTGTCAATCTGGAAGCATGTCCCTCTATTCAGCAAGAAGACGAGGTATTATTGTCTGGAAGACCATTTCTCATTACATTACTTATAAGATCCATCCTTGCGCTTATATTTTATCACCACATTCAAGGTGGCTGCTATGTATGCTATCCTGTGACTTGTTCTTTTGAAGTCTGTTATTTGGACGATAGCTTCAGGATTGAAAGTTGTCCTAACTAAGCGGTAGCCAAAACTTATTGTGACTTCTTGTTTCCGGGGAGAGGGGTTAAATTTACAAAAGTTAATACCTTCACTCTGCTTGTGCTGAAAACTCTGTTTCCTCCTTCATGGAAACTGGAAGATAAATTTGTCATAAGACCTTTGAAAGTTCTAGTGTGGTATCATGGACAAACTCAAACTTTTGGCATAATTTATGGTAGCTTTCAATTCGAATATCCCAATACCTGTATGATAATTCTTATTTCTGTGAGGAAGAAACAATAGCTCCTTTGTTCGAAATTACGAGCAAATTATGTTTTCCACCTGCAGCTAACGATTTCATTTAGCATCCATTTAGCCATTTCTGGAGTCTACATTCATCTGTATGTCGTGTCTCTGATACTTTTAGCTAGAATTAAAACCCATTTTCTACCTTTTCTCTTCTCTTCTTGATGATTAAACGAGCTGATTAAACTATCTTTTCTTTGTTGCCATCAGCAGATGTAGGCTAGATCCCGTTCTCCGGGCCGTAAGCGCAGGAAAATTGCGCTTATCTAAAGAAGAATTTTAGACCATCGTAAAAGGGTAGTGTTATTGCTAAAGCAACTTAACTTTATATGTATTAAGAAGCGAAAGGAAATAAATATCAAACATCTATTTATAAAATAACCATTACGCACATATTGTTTTGCATCAATTCAATGTGACATGCAACAACCTGAAAGAATGCATTTAGTAATTTAGAGTGAATAAAGGGCTTATTGCATCCTTACACCCAACCTTTGGAAAAAAAATTGTAGACTTAACACGGGGTTGCATCCTAATCAGACAATTATTTATCAAAAACAATATTCTGACAAAAAGAAAAGATATTCATATTTCAAATATTGTGGGATGCACTGGTGCTGCTTCATGATTGTTCCATTCATATTATATTACCTGTGTTCGTGCCAGTTCCCCCCTCGGGTAGGGGTAAGGTCTGCGTACAACTACCCTCCCCAGACCCCACTTATGGGATTTTACTGGGTTGTTGTTGTTGTTGTTGTTGTTCATGCCAGTTCTGTGAACCAGTTACTGATTACTCTTTCAAAAATTACAACAATTTTTTTGCTTCCTGAATGTTTTTTTTTAAATGGCAAGTTTTAAGTAATTTCCTCCCTGATCAGATAGTAAACTAACATATGATGGGTCTGCATTTCCTGTCTGTCGGCCACTATATTTTCAGGTTAGTGCTTCCACCACTGCTGCTCATATAGAGACTACCCATGTGTTTCCATCTGAGTGTCAGTCTGATGTGCCAGGAACTAATGAACGGCAGACAGGTCAGTGGTTCACATGGATTTAAGTTACTCATTCTTCTTGATTGTTGGTATAAATGAGATCTAGTTCCCATATTTGCAACCTGAGGAAAATGGCGAGTAAATGATCACTATAGAAAGTGAATACTACTACCTTTCAATAATCTAATTTTTTTCCCACGATCAAGTTTATTGAATCCTATTTGATAGAGAAACAACAGTGGCTTGATGGCGGCCTATTACATATTGCAAACCCATATCCAGTGTTGCTTTAGCCTGAACTTGTTCTGCATTTTCTCATTCTTCCAAGCTTGAAGTTATCTAAACCCAAGACATTTGAGTACATTTCTGTTGCTTTCGTGTGAAATTGTAGTGTTTTAGAACTCAATTGTTGAAGTATAAACGATTTATTGGAGATACATGGCATGCCTAAGCTAGTGTCAGTGGAAACGAGCAACAGAAGCAGGCAAATCTGGGAGTAGATTAGGCATATGTAGAGGAAACATTTGAGTTCATCTTGTATTCCTTTGTCTAAAGTCTGAGAAAGATATTAAGAGAATGGTGTTTTCATTAATCATCCAAAAAAAAGAATGGTATTCTTTATTGTCGGAATGATTTAGGGCAGTCATTGAATTCATGTTAACTGAAACTACAGTTGTCTTTACATATTGAAGGTGTTCAAATAGCTTTATAGATGAGTTACTTAATGAACAACTTCAATTGTAATCTCTGTTCTAGAGCTTGTATAGTTTTATGTAACAGATCCTGAGATTGATTGCTAGAGGACTACGCTTTGCTGTTTATGCTCTTGAGAATTATAACTATCTGAGATGAACTTCCCCTATTTCTTCAAATGGATTTAAATTTAACGTAACGTTTATTGAACAGGACATATTTCCTTATTTCCTAAGAAGAGTGAACTGAAGATAGGTGGGTCCTCGGCCTTCTTTACCTATGTCAAATCAGGCGTGCTTAAAACCAATGAGCAAGGAACAACCTGCACCCATGAAAATGTGCCTCAGTTGAGGATTGAAGAGAAGAGTAATGCAGTCGATGGGAATTTAGAGATCGAAACTCAAATGCAAGTAAATGAAGATGCAGTTGAAAATCATTCACAAGGTGATGACTATCGAAGTAGTAACAGTTTTCCAGAGTCGTATTCCATGAAAAGGTCCTGTACTCCCCCTTTGTCATTAGAGTTAACGCGACAGAGGAACTCAAAGATGGAGGAGTTCTCGCAGGTGTACATGCATCCACGCAATGAAGCACAGCGTGATGCTGTGAGTTTTCATGCACAAACTGCTTATTCCTATTTTGTTTCTGGAGCAATGAATCAAGTCATGATGCCATCACCACATATTTATCAGAAGAACCTGCAAGATCTCCACAACCATGCTAATTCAGCTGTTCTTCCTCAATACAACCATATGCCACCTTGTCCCCCTCATATGCATGGGATGGCATCATTTCCTTACTACCCTATGGGCCTATGCTTACAACCTGGCCAAATGCCAACACCGCATCAATGGCCTACAATTGGAAATTCGCCCTCGGCTGAAGGTAAGGGGAGCATAGTTGATCGTAGAACGGCAGCACTTATGAAGTTCAGACAGAAGAGAAAGGAAAGATGTTTTGACAAGAAGATCAGGTATGTTAACAGAAAAAAGCTGGCAGAACGGAGACCTCGTGTGAGGGGACAGTTTGTGAGGAAGGTCAATGGTGTGAATGTGGATCTTAATGGGCATCCTGCTTCAGCAGATTATGATGATGAGGAGGAGGAGGAAGAGGATGAGGAGGAACAAACAGGAAATTTTGATTCACCTGAGGATGATCCATCGATGCGTCTATGATGATTGCAATCTTGTGGAATCCCTGTCAATGAATGGCTTATGTTCTCAGAATTTCTTGTGCCGGAGAGCTGTTATACCTCGAGGATGAAAAGATGCTTCAGTTTTGGTCAACATGCCCACAAATGGAACAGGCCTGCTTTTCGGCTTGCCATCAACAACTTGGTCGACATGCATGATCAGTTGTGCAATGAGAAATTAAGAAATCCTCTGCTCCCACTGTTTTCAGTGTCATGTAACTGTGTGTTAACAAGGTAAAAATATATAAAGCTTAAGTCAAGATTCAGAGAAGCAATCTGGACAGGGAGTTAATTGTGCTATAGTGGCTCTTGCTTTCCCCATCTAATATCACCGGAATTTAGAATTCTTGAACTATCTCGGAGTGAGGAAGCCGGAGCCTGTGATTTCACAGTCAAGCAAGGTAATGAGATTCCAGTGACATTCTTTCTGGTAACTTTTTGAATTCTATAATATAAAAAAGGTTGGAGGCTGTATGTAACAGATAATATTGCTTGGTCGACTATGAGATTCTGCCAAAGCTTAGCGTAATCATCGTTTGCTGCTTCTATCCCATAATGGTGCATGTCAGTAAGCATTAATGTAGAGATGAATTTCGGGCAAAAAATGGATCTCGTACGCTGAAGGTTGCCTAGGTAACAGAAAGTCGCATCAACTCGAAAACACATTTTGGAACATTCTTGCTTCAAGTACAAAAATTGAAATTTTTACCAATACTTCTATGTTATTTTACAAAAATTAATACTTTTATGCACTACACAGCCTTAAATGTTTTCTGGACATTCGTACCTCATTTAATTTAGTCCATTCTTTCTTAGCAATGTCAAACCGATCATTGTCAGAGACGCTAAATCTCATTTAATAACATAGAGTGTCAAGGGAAAAGAAATAAGAGGAACACACAAGGGCATCGGTTTTTAAACTTGGATCTGAAATGCTCTAGGTTTTTTCAATTAGTACCAATTACCAAAAGAGGGATTAAATTCTTGACAAAAAGAAAATTAAGAAGCTCATCCAATATTCAAGACATGTCTTCAAAGAGATTTTACAAGTTGACAACAATTCGTCTTATACGAACTCCTACAGACGAAAAGTCTTCTAGATTACTGTTATTTGATCCATTCCTTTGGAAAGAGAACCAACAGTAGGTCAAAAGAAGTTGTTCATCTACGGAAAACTAGAATATTATGACAATCAACCGCTGCACACTGTTAAATACATTTTACAGATCCCAGACAAAGATCACCAAATTCAGACATATTAATGGACAAACATGGCAATTTAATATTAAGACAATTGCCAGGACAAGAAGCACATGAAGGTTTGAAAAACCACACCACAAAAAGACCGCAAATTGACATCACAATTATTATGTGAATTCAAGAAAGTGTACTCCAACAATACATGCTCGTCTTTTTTCTTTCTTTTTGTAACAAATGAGAAGCACGTAAACTCTGAAAACCATCCATTGAGCTAATGGGCCAGCTTGAAGTAAAGAACTAACAGGATAGCCAGGACCAAGACAGCAATGATAGAACCGATGATCCATTTATTCCTGCTCATCCTTCTTGACATTGTAGTCAGTATCTTCTTGCTCCTGCTAACATTATCATCCACTCCATGAAGCTGTGAAGGAAGAAACTTACTGATCATTACATCTTCATTATTAGACATTTTAAACTTGAGCTTATTTCACAGATGACTTTTCTAGCAAAGCAAATTTGAATTAGATCTGTCAAAACATCATCTGAAATTTTCACAACAGTGACATATCAGAATTGGAGGTTTTCCCTCTTCTTGTTCTCCTCTTAGTTTCTTATTGCCCAGACCGATTGGATGCACAAGACAAAAAAGGGATAAAGGGCATACTGTGTCATGTGCATGCAGGAGAGACTGACGTTGTTGATGCAAATCTTGAAGAATTGAGACCCCTAGCTCCTCGGTTTCTAGCATTGTTTTTCGGCTCTCCCTGATCCTATCACTAGAATGATTCAACCTCTCTGTTGACATCATCAACCTTTGCCTTTGATCAGCAGACACCTATATGGCATTGAATTAAAATTTTGACCAAGCAAAAGCATAACCAATGAAGCGTCGATCAAAAAGTGAAAGAACGTTCAATCTCACATAAAAACTTCCACAGCATAAGATGTCCATCCTGACAGTCACATTGATAAAGGAAATGATTGCTCGAAAAGCACATCCAAGCAATAAGCTAGCCATAGGAAACTTCCATAACTTTATGCTTTATGTGATAACGACACAAAGTATTTCCTCCCTCCCAATTTATATGAATATTCTTTCCTTCATGTGACATTCCCAAAGTAGTTGACACTATTCCACTAGTAATCTTATTCTATACCGCTTTCACAATTTTCTAGATTACAAATTCATTTAACTATTCAGCTTTAATTCAGTGTAAAATTTGCTCGATGAGACTTGCTTTTCAATTATTAGTTTAATGTTTTTTTCAATATCATCAACATAATACAAGTAAAAATAACATCTCCAGTCCAATACCTCTATAAAATGGAATGGACAGAGTATTACAGGTTCCAACATGCTTAAAAGCTTATACTATTTACAAATTAAACTTCCCTTGCAAAGGAAAACCACTGCAATGACTCATAAAAAAGAAAAAAAGAAAAGAACCTATTATTGAGATAGACCCCAAAAGAGAAAGTTGGAAATGTAGACCAATAAAGTAATACAATGTGAGAGATGCACTATTGGTTCAGATGTCTGGGAAAACTACAATATTCGGTCTGCACAGTGCAATTATTAGCAACAACAAACAACCCAGTAAAATCCCACTAGTGGGGTCTGGGGAGGGTAGTGTGTACGCAGACCTTACCCCTACCCGAAGGAGTAGAGAGGCTGTTTCCGGAAGACCCTCGGCTCAAGAAAACAAAATTGAAGTAGCGATTGGAAACTATTAGCCAACGTCAATGAGAGTAATGAGAATTTACTAATCAATGCTTTAAAGGATTAAGATCAGCATAATGTTCCTTCATTAAACTGACTAGCTGGAAAGTGCAATATGGAAGAGGGGATTACCGTCATAGCATCTGCCATCCCCGATTCCAACAACTCGTCCCTTGCAGCTTGGTTTACGTTTGCTGATGTGATTCTTTTCACTTCAGTTTTTAAGTTGTTCAGATCACTTTTATATTCTCTTAACTTGGCAAGAAGCGTGGCCTTAACATTTGGAGGTAAACTCCTAGCTTCTAGGTCCATCTTGCGAATCTGGAAATGAGGATAAACGAGCATTCTTAACCAAAATACAGAAACAAGCAAAAAAACAATTTGCGGCCAAAGTTATTCGGAATTACCAATGCTTCAGCATCATCTAGGCCAGCTTTTATTTCAGACACTTTTTGTTTCTTTTGCTCTGCAAGCGTGAAAAAAAACATGTAGAAGCAGTTAAAAAGGCAACAAGGAACTATCGTCAAAGCCCACAAGCATTAAAAAAAAGCTGTAACAGAGGTCTGAAACAGGCAGAGAGAGGGTAATCGCAGATTAATGAGCCCTGTGATTAAGAAGTAACAGAGGCAACTAAAAGGCAACAACTGGCCTAGTGGTAAAAAATGCACAAGAACACAAAAGCAAGCAGTATCAGAGGTTTGAAACAGGTTGAAATGGAACTTAATAGTAGCATTTTTTGGGGTATAGTTCTGAAAGTCGACGTCAAGAGAATGTCATCCCAATGAATTAAGCCCAACAACTAAAATAACCTAACCAACTTTAGTTAAAACTTACCAACCAATTGACATTTTATGAAAACTACTTGGTTTTACAAGACCCATCGTGTAATCCAGCATTAGGAGCAGTGATACTTATTCTTTTCAATATTCTTTGTGATTTCAATACAACAATGACTACGTCTCATTCCCAAACAAGTCAGGGTCGGCTATATGAATCATCATTGACCATGTTCCTCGTTTAAATTCCTCTCAGGCCAACATTATACAAAATAAAAAAAATAAAAAATAAAAACTCTTCAGAAGAAAACAAGAATGCATTTTCCCTTTTTGGGGTAAGTAAAGGAGCATCTTTTCGTAGAAAAAGGAGAAAATGGCTATATCTTTCTCACCTCCATCAAGGATACTAGCTGAGCTGCATTTCTTCGTTAAATTAGCAGAAAGCTCACAGTACTGCCTTTCATATCCTTCGAACACCTGACTCATTATGCCTTGCCCCCTTCTCAAACTTCACAAATACCTTCAGATCACATAAATAACCGTAATTTCAACCAAATTAACTATCTTGTTCTCTAAATTAGGTTCTCCATTGCAATAACAAAACACCAAAATGTGATATTTCGATTCCATAAGATCATGATTATTCTTAGAGAACCGAAAAAATTAAAGCCGAAAACTATGATAATTTAGCAAATGTAAGTAGATTATGTTACTAAAAAAGGGATAAATTCAGAGATATGATAATACGCACCTTGACTAGATCGGAAGAAGGAGAGAAATTCGCCGGCCGGTGATCGAAGAATCAGTGGGAAAATGGGCTGGCCTGGTCGTTGGAACAATCGAGAATAATAGAATGATTTTTTCGTTGTCAATCGTTACCCACAGACGGGAACCGAATTGGTGAGGCACTATGTTTACTTGTCCAAAAGACTCTATTTTCTTTTTCTACATCCAACTCATCCGCACCAACACATTTACTAACTCGCATTGCTCTTGATTAATTGTAATACTTTTTCTAAACATGCCCGTTATTTACTACTACTTCCGTCTCATATTATCTGTCGTGATTCTCCCTATAAAAAAAATTAATTAGGATAAGATTTTGACTATTTTACCCTTATTCATGTTTTAATTTTAGGGTGTGTCTGGTATGAGGTTTCCATATTTGGTTAGCTTAAGTGTTTTGGATTTTTTTTTTCCTTATTCGGAGAATGGAAAATATTTTTCAAAACTCCTTCTCAACCTTCCCCGCCCTCACCAACCCATCCCACACCCACCCACCCAACCCCACCCCACCCCACACCTACCCACCCTACCCCCTCTCTCCGAAAACCTTTTTTTCTTTTCAAATTTCATTTTTTTCCGTCACCACCCCCTGCTAAACCTCCCCCCCTCCCGCAAAAAATTATTTTTTTACTTTTTCTTTTGTAATTTTAAATGTTTTTTTATTT